GAAACCCCCGATGGTCACGCACCTTTACTGCTGGCCAGGCCACCACGGGCTACCTGCGACATCAGGCTTCTTCGCTCTAACTGGGATTATCTCCACCCACTGTGCCCGTTCAGAATCTCTGGGGCTGATGGCAGCTGAGCAAGCATCATCGTTGTCCTTGACTAACCCCAAATGAGAAAGCTTACATTACTTCACACACACAGTTTGTTTGTTGGCCAAACATGGGCCTTGGGGCAAGTAACAGCAGGAGGGGCTTTTCTGGTGGGAACGTAGAGAGGAATTAGCTTAGAAATGGGAGTTCCTGAAGGGAGGGCATTTGTCTCCATTATTTTTCAGTGGCGGCAACTGCTTCTTATACTTTCTTTAAAATGAAGTAAGTACTTCCCCACCCCCACAAAGCCTGGTGCCTGCACCGCCCTGGGAGGCAAAGGGGGGGTGGCTGGCCGGGCACACAGCCCAGGTCTTCACTAGCTGCTCCTTGTACCACCTTCTCCACGAAAGCTGACCTTGAGGACGACGTGTGGGCTCTTGTTTGCAGGTTTTCAGCGAAGCCGAGTGGAAACCAACCACAGCCATGCTTGAATTTCTTGTAGGAACCTGCACTGAGACGGGGCGTGGACCTCTCCCTGCGGCCTCCACTCCGCTCTGCACCTTCCTTCGACTTCAGGCACGTCCGAGTGCACACGTGGGGCTGGGGTGCGGCTTCTCTTGCTCCTTCTAGCCAGACCCTCCCCTCCACCCCTCCCATCTCCACCACTCCCCCCTCCACCCCACACCCACAGGAGGTTTGAGGCCGTGGAGCTTTTGGTCAGGAGCGTGCAGAGGCTCAAGGCCAGGCCTCGGAAGGCTGATGGATGCCGGGGGCTCACAACCAACTTCCAACTTCACTCCTGGACACGCTTCGTCCATCTGGAGACATCTCGTTGGTGGGGAGGACCCCAGAGCTCATGACCACTGGAAAGTGTCCTCCCATCCGGGACTAGAAGTCACCTTTGGGGACAGGATTGGGGAGGAGAAGCACAGTCGCTTCTTAAAAATGAGTCTCATGTGTCTGAGTAGCAGGAGCTGGACACCCTGGTCCAGAGGCCCCACGACCGTGGACTAGAACGGGTGAAGGTCAAGGACAATGAAGGTCAAGCCAACTAGATTTCAAATACAGCTCAAGAGGAGTCCACTGTGAGATATAAAAAACGCACCATCCATCAGCCACAGTAAAGGGCCTAGAACTCTGATGTCGACACACCAAGGAGGGGACATCTTTTTTATGCGCGGAAGGATTCTTCTGGTGCTAACATCTGTTGCCCATCTTCCTGTCTTCCTCTTTTCTTTTTTTTCTTCTTCTCCCCAAAGCCCCCCAGTATGGCTGTGTATCGTAGTTGTAAATCCTTCTAGTTCTCTGTGTGAGCCACTACCACAGCATGGCAACTAACAGACGGTGGTGTGGTTCCACGCCACGGAAATGAACCCAGGGTGCAGGCGTGAGAGAGCCAAACTTTAGCCACTAGACCTTCAGGGCTGGCTTGAGGGGACTTTTGTAAGTCAAGGTCCGTGGGGATCTTTCCAGTGACTCTTTAGGGTGTGGATCAACTACACCACGTGTTGTCTCTGCTCTGTGGATGTGTCCCCATCTCCTAGGAGACATACCTCCTCCAGGGCAGGAACCACCTCTGGTTCATCTTTGCACCCTGAGAGCTCACTGGGTACCCTGCAGGCAGGACCCAAAGTCCCTATGGGGTGTCTTCCCCACCACGCTGAGCCCCTGCTGGAAGCAGGACTTCACTCTGTTCATCAGCAAAACAGGGGGCCGGGGCCAAAGCCAGGCTCATTGGTTTCTCACTGAGTTTCTCACCATGCCTAGCGTGCAGGACACGCCCACAAGCGGGGGATCACCATCCTTCCCAGGGCTGATTGCAACACTGGGTATGTGGCGGGCGCTCAGGTACTGGTTGGTGTCCAGACAGGCTTTCTTTAAACCAACATTTCTTAAAGTATAGGGATAAAAATCATATATTATTTGTGCAAAATGTGGTTTGTTTTCTTTTTTAAGAGAAAGCTTGACTTCCTTCTCCCCACCTATAGCCAGGAATCGAGATAGATACTTCCCATGCATGCCCATTTTACAGATGAGGAAGCCAAGGCTCAGAGAGGTCAAGTGAGGTCCCCAAAGTCACTCAGTGGCAGAACCAAGCTCTTAACCATTAGGATCTTGGGTTTATAGCCCTTGGCCTCTCTGGGACGTTTGCTTAAAGCCCCAGAACGAGGGGCACTATCACAGAGATAAGCAACAGTGATCAACTGCACATATGAATTAACTGGGTCATGGTCACATAGTAAAGGCACATCCACTTGAAAGATTTCTCTGAGTGGGACCCAATGTGACAAGGAAGGAAAATTGAATCAGATCACACGAAAAAACCGGGCAACTCCGGGAGAGTGTGACCTGCCCAAGACGGAGCTAACTCTGGCCAACTCTCCTCTGATTTCCCAGGAAGCAAGGAAAAGGTGAGGAGAGGGCAGGGTCCGTTCAGAAGCCTCTCAGGTTTTAGTACAAGGCCTGAGAACCCTGGGTGGGGGTGGGGTGGGGGGATTCGTGCTCTGTGTCTTTCTTCAGGGGTCTCAGAGAGGGTCTCTGAAGCAGCTGTGAGAGGTGGTGACTAGAATCTGGGCTCTGGAGCCACAGAAACCTGGGGTTCTCTCCTGGCAAGCTGTGCGACCTCCCTGACCTTCTGTCTCTTCATCTGAAATGTGTCCAGCAAAGCTTTACTGTCCAGGTGCTCTCTGTGGAGCAGGTGCTGGGTGCCGAGGACTCAGCAATGCCTGGGGGAGACCAGAGTGGAGCCTTCACCAACCTCACTGCCTAACGGGAGGCAGCAAATGTGGAGACAAACCAATTCTGAGACCCGCTGGAAAGAAAGAACACAGAGAGGAGAAGCATCTCTAGCCCAGGCTGGTGGGGAGGCTCCGAGGGTGCAGCCACGTCAAGGCTGAGCCCAGCACCGAGCTCGGGGCGGGCATGCGGTCAGGGACAGCTGCTTTTGTTGCTGCTATTATTACTGTAACCTGAATAAAACCGGGCCCAGTCTCATCACCATGTCACATTCAAAAGAAACACCAGTGTGACACCCTCAAATCCTTGAAAAGCAGTTTAAATCTTCCAGAAATCTCTCAAATACACCCCAAAGGGGAGTCCCTCTGCACACCACACACACAAGCCTTCTCGAGACTCTGCATCAGCGTGTCTTCCCTCCACCTCCTTCATTTCATCCTCTCGGAGAGGCAGGGCTGCTGGGCCTGGCCGTGGGGGATGGGGCATTGGGCAGGCCAGGCTCTGCCCTCACCAGCCATGTTGCTTAACTGCTCTGTGCCTCAGTTTCCTCATCTGCAAAACCTGGATAACAATAGCACGCCTTCGAGGAGTCACGAGTGGTTGTGGGCACTCAGTGAGGTAAGGGCTCTAAGTGGTCAAGATAAGCATTCACCACGAGGCCACCCAAGTGGGAACTCTTGTGATTTCCTTCCACTGCCCTTTGCATCTCGCCCCAGTGAGGAGCTCCAGCAGGGTCTCTGGTCCCTCGGTCTGGGCTTTCTAGGTCCTGGTACAACACAGCAGCTCCACCCACCACCCCACCAGCCCAGTGCTGGCAGGCACACTCTGAAACTCCCTCTTCCTTAGGAGTCACACACAGGGGCAGCCTCCCCTGGGCATCACCTTAGACTGTCAGTGCTCAGAGGGCAGGGCCGGGTGTTCCCTGATGCACTGGGGAAAGACAGCTCCTCACCAACCAAGGCCACCGCTTGCCCCACGCCTGCGCAGCAAAGCACAAGGTGGTTCCCACATCCTCCTGGCTCCCCAGGCCACAGGGTAGGCCGTGCATCAGGGACCGGGCTGTCTCCCTTCCCGAGGGGCCCTGGGCCAGGGCCTTGCCAGGCGTGGGGCCCTGCCCTCACAGGGCTCACAGTCCTGCATGCAAGGCAGATAATCGGGGCCTGAGTAGGAGGTGAGACAGCCGGGGCCAGCAGGAAAGGGCCTGCAGAGGAGTCAGGGAGGGCTTCCCAGAGGAAGAGGCCCTGAAGGGAAGGGCTGGAATCAGAGGGAGGGAAGGAGTTCCAGGCAGAGGCCACAGACCAGGCAAAGGCCTGGAGGGGAGAAAGCAGTGGGCTCAAGAAGCCGCACGTTCTCTCTGACCTCCTACAACAGGTGCAGTTCACCGAGCACTGTCACCGACACCCCCAGAGGTCAGAGGGCAGGAGTCCTTAGCCCCAGTTCACAGATGGGGAGACCAGCTCTAAGAGAGAAAGCGACAATTCCTGGCTGGGACTAGAGCCCGCCTCTTCTGACTCCTGGCTCAGGTGAGAGAATCAGCAGACTGGGTCTGCGGCACCCCTGGCATCTGCTGAGCGCCCAGGCGGGCCTGCTATCATCACCCCCATTTTACAGATGAAGAAACTGAGGCCGAGGGAGACCACAACATCCCTCTAGTCTTGCGGTGCTTGTCTATCTCTGGGGATGGGACGAGCCTGAGGCGCCGAGATGCCCTCCCCAGGCCGGGCAGGAAACAGCCAGGAGCGGGGTGACTTGGGGTGAAGGAAGGAGGGGAGCGGGGACGGCTGGCGGAAGCCCACACCAGGCAGGGAAAGGCGGAGGAATGTGGGTGGGGTTGGGGTGCGCCTCTCCAGGAGGCCGGCCTGGAAGGGCCCCAGGGCCCCAGGCAGCCCCCTCACTCCCTCGGGGTGAGACCCTGACTTCCCGGAAGACACCGCCCCCCAGCTGGGCGGGGAGAAGGACACTACCTCCGGCCGCCCAATCAGACGCACGCCCAGTCTGATGGGGGAGGCAGCCGGGGCGGAGGGCGCCCAGGGCCCTCCCGGAGGCGCCCCGGGACCTGCCCCGACTCGGCGGCCCACCGCCCCGCCGCCCACCCCCAGCCTCATTAGCGCCGACGCCCGTCGTCCTCCCCTCGGCTTCCGGTGGCTCCAGAATTTAAAGGTTAAATCCTAACCTCGTCTCAGCAGTTTCTCCCGGCTTTGCCTACCCAGCGCCAGTTGCTGGTAATTATATGCATCTCCGAGCAGCCAATCAGCTGTCAGACTGACAGATACTGATCTTTTCGTTTTATTTTTAGCTCTGTGCTTCCCCCTCTAGTTGCAAAAAAAAATTCTGTTTGTTCTGTATGCTGCTGCCTGGCTCCCAGCTCTGCAGCCGGCTCTCAACTCCGCCAGCCAGGCGGGAGCAGGAAGCCGGAGGGGCTGGAGCGTCCTGTCCTTCCAGAAAGGGGGGAACAAAGCCCCGGCTGCCCCCCAGGTGCAGCCCCCGGGCTGCGGTGGGAAGGTCAGGAGGCAGGTGCTGCCTGCACAGGCGCCTTTGGAGGCTAAGGGAGCCCGATGGGAGCTCGGCTTGGCCTTGCGGCCACGCAGGGGAGGGAAGCGAGTCATCGCAGCGGCTGGAGGGTGGGAGACAGAGACAGAGACAGAGAGACAGCTGGAGAGAGAGACATACCGGAGCAGTGAGAAACCTAGACTGAAAAGAGGAAAGAGAAGGGAGTGGAAGGAAAAAGACAAGCTCTGGCCCCTAGAAAAATTCTCCCCCCGAATGAAACAAAAATTCTGTTCTGGGCGAGCACTCGACTGGGAGTCCGGAGGGGGCTTTCCAGCCAGGTATGCAGGGCATGAAGGATGAGTGAAATACTCTTCAGAGTCCTTTTGTGGGTCATTCTGGAAGGTTCTATGGACCTCCCTGGAGGTACCAGGAGGCCAGCAGGTGTGGGGGCCCAGCTGGTAGGAGGCCCCTGTTCACGCAGGCTCTCTGGAAGGAGAGGAGAAATCTGAGGGCCAGGCAAGTGCTTAGGGCCCAGAGTCTCCCAGATAGCCGAGGGAGGGAAACGACTGTGAAGTTTTCTCCCATCATCACGGCACTCTACAGTTGGCAAAGCACTCCCCCTTGCCCCGAGAGCCTCCATTTCTTCCCCATGGTGAGCCCCAGGAGGAAGTGACATAGGGATCGGGAGGCCTGGCCCGTCACCTCCGTCCTGATTGACCCTGGCGGGAAGGGAGGCAGTGTAGCATAATGGTTTGGGCTTTGCAGCACCACCATCGAGGGTTCAAGCCCAGGGCTGCTGTTTACCACCTCTGTGAGCCCGAGCGAACGCCCTGAGCTCTCTGGGCCCAGTGCCTCCATCTGGAAGGTAGGCCCGAGAGCCACCCCAGCTCACAGATTGCCCTAGGGAGTAAAGTCACACTGTACGGGGCTCCTCACAGCCCCAGCACCCACAGGGCCCAGCCCAGCGCACCTGTGAGCAGGTATTAACGTCTCCGCTTTGCGGAGGGGAAAACTGAGGTTCATGTGACTCGTACTTGGCAGAACTGGGACTAAACCCCCCCCCCCCCCCCCCCCCCACTTCTTGGCTTCCTTTTCTCTGACACCACAGATGGCGCGCTGAGAAAAAAGAGAGAAGAGAGCAGGGAGAAGGGAATTAGGAGACAGAGAGAGATGGAGGGAGGCGGAGGCACCGTGATCAATTACTTGGGCTATAAATTTCTGCTGTTTTGCAAAGTGAGCACACAACCTCAGAGAGGCATCGCTTGCTGGGTCTGCTCGGGAGAAACCGAACAGCCAGGCCCACGGCAGATGCTTCTGATGGTGGGAACCAGAGAGGAAATGAGGGCCAGGGTGGGGTCAAACCAGCGGGTGGCATGGGCAGAGGGCAAGGACCCACGGAAAGGAGCCAAGGAGTGGGGGCGCTGGGAGCTGCCCAGAGCCCCAAGGGCCTCACCTTCCTCTTCTCCCACGGCTTTTCTCCCACTGCTGGAGTGGGAGCCCCAGTCCTGGGCGGCCCTGTCTGTCGGAACACACCCGCCTGGCCAGACCCCGGCCGCTGCCTTCACAGCTGGTGCTGGGGGCTGCTGGGGAGGGGTTCCAGGAACTTCGGCCTCCTCATCTGTCAAATGGGGGTGATGTTGGCATCCATCCCCAGGAGCTGCTGTGAGGGCCCAGAGAGATGTAGGATGTAAGTGGCCCAGCCTGGGGCCTGGCACATACCCCGAAATAGCGTTAATGTTGTTGTTATTATTATTGGGAAGATAATGGAGGGCAAAAGGTTTTGTAAAGGGCTAAAGGTAGTTTGGAGACTGACTGAATTATTAAAAAGGTGGGGGCCCGTGCTCCCTCTGGGGCGCAGTCAGAGAAAGGGTTGCCCACGGTGGGGATGTAAGGGGCACTGACCTGTCTCGCAGTCTCCCAGCATGTAGGGCCCGGGCCAGGGTGCAGTTTGTGGCTGGGAAACGGGACCAGAGCGAGGCAGCTCAGACCCAGACTCCCGGCCCCTCCCCTCCGGAGCCCCGTTATAACCCATTTAGGAGCCGAGCCATAGGCAGAGGCCAGCTTATCCCTCTGGAATCCAGGTGCCCAAGAAAACGGGATTCTGGAAACAGTGCTCTCAAGGCCTGTCCGTGCTGTGAAACTACAAAGACCACAGCATTTCAGAAGCCCTCCCCGCCTGCTCATGAGGAGCTTCAGCAGTGAACCAGCTCCAGGCCCCGCCCTCAAGAAGCTGTTTGTCAGGGAGAAAAACAGATAGATACAGCTGACCCTGAATGCTGGTCTTCAGACCCCAGGCAACGGCCAAAGTAACGGGAGGCCACAGGATGGAACAAGAAGACGGCAGACTACAGACATAATGAAATGAGGCAAGCTGGGGTGGAGGGGCCTGAGTGCAGGCGTGAAGCCCATATTGGCTGTGAATCGGGGTCCTGGAGAAGATGCCCTGAGTTCAGGTGGGCTCCAGCACAGGGCCGGCCATGGGCCCTCTCCAGCCTCAGGGATCCCAGGCTGAAGCCAGTGGGGAAACTTGCTATTTTAAAGGAGACCTGAAATGGATTCCTTCAGAACGAAGAGAAGCTCCCTGGATGGGGGTAATAGAAATGCTGCAATCGTCAGGATGGGCTAATGGATGTAACAAACAGCCCCCAAAGAAAAGTTTATTTGAGCCAGCCCTGATGGCCTAGTGGTCAAAGTTCGGCGTGCTCTACTTTGGTGGCCCGGGTTTGGTTCCCTGTTGCAGAACCACACCACTCGTCTGTCAGTTGCCACGCTCTGGTGGCAGCTCATATAGAAGAACTAGAAGGATTTACAACTAGGATATACAACCATGCACTGGGAACTTGGGGAGGAAAAAAAAAAGAGGAAGATTAGTAACAGATGTTAGCTCAGGGCAAATCTTTCTCAGCAAAAAAAGAAAAAAAAAAGAAAAAAAGTGTCTTTCTTGCTCACATTACAGTGTATGTGGGCTGGTGGGGAGGGGCCAGGGTCCTGCTCCCCACAGTCACTCAGGGACCCAGGCTCCTTCAACTTGTGGCTCTGCATGTTTTAGGGCCTTATCTTCCTCTGCAGTAATCTTGTGAAAGGGGAAAGGGAGAGTGTGGAGGATGGTGTGGAAGGAATTCTGTGGACCAGGCTAAAAGTGTTGGGGGGGGAGCACATCACCTCAGCTCATGTTCCATTGGCCAGCACGCAGTCATGTGACTGTGCCTAGCTGCAAGGGAGGCTGGGAAGTGTAGTCCAGCTCTGTGCCCAAGAGGGAAACAATGAATGGGTGTGTAAACTGATGCTCACAAAGCACCTAGTGTAGGGCCTGGCCCCTAATGTCTGTGTGCCAAAGCTGGTTATCTGTCCTCCAAATCCAGAGGCTGCTCACCTGAAGGTCAGGACAGATGTCGGAGGGCTGGTCCTAGCCCTCTTCCTGAAACTGTACATTAGAGTGTGTGTATGTGTGTGTGTGTGTGTGAGAGAGAGAGAGAGAGAGAGAGAATGGGTGGAGAGATGTGTCTGGTATAGGGAGAGCATCCAAAGCTTTCACCAGATTCTCGAAACTTTGAGGCATAATGGCTTAAAGAGAGGTGCGAAGTCGCCTTAGCAAGGCCTTGGTACACAGTACATTGATCCTCGTGGCCCCACTACGCATGGCAGGAGGTAGAACCAAGGATTCCCCACTCACCGTCTTCCCTCCTCTACCAAATGCCCCAGAGACCTCAGGGTCAGGGCAGAGAAGGCCTCAGTCGATCCATGGCAGTGGACACACCAGACCCAGTGGGCTGCCGTGGCCCAAAGCAGCCGTGAGGTCCTGGGGTGTCAGCACTGGAGGCCAGCTTAGACGTGCAGGTGGAGAAGCTGAGGCCCGGAGAGGGGCCATCTTGCCCAGGGTCACACAGCGAGTCTGGGCAGAGCCAGGATTGGCATTCAATTTTAGTTGGGTTTGTGTGGTTGTTAGCAACTTAAGCGGGCTCTGTCAGCCTTGAGCAGAAAGGGGCTTCGTCTCCAGACTGAGGGGGAGCTCAGGATGGAAGGAAATGCAGGAGAAGCAGGTGGGCCCCGGGGATGACACCACCAGGACATCTTGGGGAGCTGGAGAGACTCGGTGACCACCCTCAGGGACTGGCCATCAGGATGAGGACCGAGTGCCCCCCTCCCCCCAAGGAAGGAGGGCTGGTGACCCAGCCCGGGCTTCAGGCCCATCCCTTGGCAAGGCAGGCCCGTCTGGACCAACAGCCCTTTCCCCAGGCTGCACATGTGGGGGAATTCCCCTGGAGGCAACTGGGGGGCTTTTCCCAGAAAGAGGAGGGGGCGTGGGGCCAGGGCTGGCCAAAACAGCAGATGTCCGCTCTGCCTCATGCACAGGGTTGTGCAATCGAAACAAAACAACAACGGGACCAGTTTCCTGCAGCCCAGAGCTGCGACCTCACCAGGGAACGCAGCCCAGAGCACGGCGGCTGGGCCAGGAAAACAGGCGTGCAGCAAAGCAGTGTGGCGGGCTCTGCTGTTCCCCCGCGAGGAACCGAAGCCTCCGTGAGGGCGGCGAGGCGGGCCGGGTGCTCTACCCCAGGCTGGGCTCCCTGGGGCTCGCCCAGGATTCCACCAGCAAGAGCTGAGTGTCCCGGCGAGAATTCACCCCAGGAGGACTGGAAGCACAGCTGGCTCGGGAGCTGGGAGGGCTGCCCGCCTCACCCCACCCGCAGTGGGGACCGGTCTGAGAGTGGGGGTGCTCAAGCTGGCAGGAGCTAGAAAGCTTGGACAGAGGAGGGATGGTCACTGTCAACATAGTGAGGCTGCAGTCCCCAGTTCTTCAGACACTGATCTCGGTGTCGCTGGGAAGATGCCTCATACATGTACTACAGCCCATATGGGTGGACTTGAAGTGGGAGGTTGTCCTGGGTGTTCCGGGTGGGCCCGGCTCAACCACCCCAAAGGCCTGCAGAGCAGAGCTGAGACCTCCTGGCGGGGAGGAAACTCCGCGTGTGGACAGCGGCCTCGGCCCAGGCCCAGTGGTCCGGCTTTCCGACTGTCTGGCCAGCCGCACAGTCGCGTGACCGGTTCCTTGCCGGAAATCGCCTAACGTGGATCTCCTCCTGGGTCTGGTTCCCCAGGTGAAGCCTGACCGAGGCGGATGAAGGGGAGGGGCGGGCGTGCACCAGGAAGCTCGGAGGACTCTCTTGGGGTGGGGTGGCCACACCCTTCAGGACAAATGCTGACTGGGTCGTGTTCCTTCGTGCAGCCGGGGGAACGAGGACAGTCCCGCTGTAGGGGCTGCACAGACCCTGGGCGTCAGTGTTCAGAAAGCTGGCCCAGAGCTCTGGGGCTGGCCTGGCAGTCCTGTCCCCCCTTGCCCCCTGCCCCGCCCTGCCACCCCCTCGTGTAGCTGACATGTCACCACGCTCTGTGCTGCAGAGGCTTGGCGCTGTTTCCACGGGGCAGGGAGGTGGCACCATCCCCCCGGGCAAGGCAGACTGAGGCCCAGATCGGCTCCCTTATCTGGGGGCCAGGATGGTCCCTGGGCTCTTTGTGTCCCCATCGCTCTCGATGAGGCCCCCTCCCAGCCCACCCCATCCGTGCTGCAGGTGTGGGCAGAGGCCAGGGCCTCGCAGGGCCACCCCCGGGTCTGAGCTGACCCCACAGAGGATCACTGTAAAGGGGCTTCCAGACCCGCAGGGCAGAAACCAGCTGGGTCTGTCTGCTGGTGCTGGGGGGAGCCCAGGCCCTGAGGGGGAAGAGGCCAGTGCCTGCCAGCCTCTCTCCCCCAGGCCAGGGGCCTCTGGAGACTTCAGGCCCCTGACAGCTCCCCCCATCCTGTTAATAGGAGACCATGGGCAGAGGCTTAGAGAGCACCCCATCTTTGAGGAGGGACCTCAGGGACCAGCAGAGTGGGTTCAGGGTGGGCGATGTCTGCTCAGCATCCCCTCCCCTAGGACAAGGAGCGGGGAGTGACAGGGAAGAGGATAAGAAAAGGGGAGACCCCCTGACGTGAACCACAGACCTGCCTGCCGGCATGGGGGGGGGTGCGCCTGCGGGAGGGGGCAGACGTTACTCTTGTTTATCAATGAACCCACGGCGCCAGGCTCTGCTCCCCAATGGCTGTTCACTCCTTAGTCCTCATGACCGCCCTGAGAGGTGGGGGCGGTTATCTCCAGCATCCCCACTTTACAGAGCGGGAGACTGAGGCTCCAGAGGCCCCACAGCCGGCACATGGCGGGTGAACTCCATTGTCCTCTGGTCCAGCTGCATCCCGTTAATGCCAAGGCCCAGCCCACCTCTCCTCCTTCCTCCCAACAGACCTCCCTCTGGAGGCCTCCTCTCCCCTGGGCATCATCTGAAACCCCCAGTCGAGAGGATTCTCTGTGTCTTCTATTCTAGCACATGCCACAGCCCTGGTCTCATTCTCTCTCTCTCTGCTGTTTGGTTGGTTTGGGGGGATCCCACCCTCCATTATCAAAGCAATAAACACTCATGATGGAAAGTTTGGAAAGCACAGAGACCTCACACTCTGGCGAAGTTGATCTATTCCCACGCCCACAGTTCCCCTCCAGATGCACGTCACATTCACGGCTGCTTCTGGGGGACGGGGCCCTGGCCCAGAGCAGGGGCGGCAAGCATGTCTGCCGCCCACCTCGGCTTTGCAAATCTTGGGCTGGTTCATCCACGCAGTGCCCGGTGACATCCGTTATAGCTGCCACGTGGGGCATGTGCCGTGTGCCCGTGCCAGGCTGAGCATCTGCCGCCCCTCGTCCTCCAGCCATCTGAGATGTGCTGTTGTCGCCACCCCCAGCCTTCAGATGAGGAAACTGAGGCTCAGGGATGCTGGGCAATTTGTGCAAGCTCTTAAGTCCGTCTGGGCTCAGCATCAGCGCTTTTCAGCGGCCCCCGCCTCCCATGGGCAGGGGCGTTTCCAGGCCCCATTAGTCACTTATCTCTGTGCTTAGTGCAGGCACGTCTTCCTGCGACCTCACAATGCTGACACAGGAGCAAGAGGCTGCACGAAGCAATGTCCACTCACTGCCAGAAACGACACAGCGAGTGTCACCGCCAGCTGGGGCAGGATCAGAGGCTAACCAGTATTTTTACTTTAACTGCAAACCC